CATTACAAGATGAAAAAGAAAGAAAGAAAAAGCTATTTTGTCTGGAAGATGGACCTGAAAGACAGGCCACAACCCAATACAATGTTCTATGGGTTTAAGGAGGTCTCTGATGGGGTTCTGCAGTTTCTTGTAGTGAGGGAAAGAGTGCTAGCTTACTTTCTCATTCTCATGGGTTTAGGCTCTCTCAACATGATGAGATATCTCAATGAGGAAATTTTAAACTTCATGATGTTCCTCACTGCCAGCAAGAATATAAACTCTTCCTCATAGTTCAAAATCTCTATAATTTACTAAGACATTTATTAATTTCCTAGTATGTTGTCTATAGTTTGCTAAAATGTCTCTAATGCCCTTTTCCTTTTCAAAAATCAGGCACAGACTCACAAGCAGAACAAGCACAGAAGGAGTTGCTGATTGCTAAGAAAGATGCAAATAAACCATTGAGTGCTTCAAATTCTTAAATAAAGTAGCAATCAACATAGGTTTCTGCACAGCTTCCACAGAAACAGATAATGTACATAATTGGCAATTTTTGTACAAAACATCATCACACATTGCACTGGAAAGTTGTCAACCATGAGGACCATGGTGCATTTCTTCTTCTTCTTTTTGTGTGCCCATATGAGATAAACTGCTTCTCTCCAGCAATTCATGCTATCTTTAGAAGTGATGACTATCTTATTAAACTCTTTGTCTTCAAACAGTAAATATTGTGGTTCATAGCTTTCAGTTGTTTTTAATTTCCATTTAACAAATTGTATATAACACTTGACAGGCAAGAAAGAGGCACAGAGGTACAATATTGCATAACTTTGACATAGTATGGAAATGTGCAAGAACACCTCCTAGAGTAAATTTTAAAAAATATCTAGCTTACATTCAAAATATCTAATTGGTATTTGTATAGATATATTGGTATTTTGACAAATTATTGAAGAACCAGCGAAGAAAAGAAGTTAAAAAAGAAAAAGGGAAGCTGCAGGCTGGGATTTAGGAATACCCGCTTTATGCTTTCTTCAAAGAACAGAACGGATGGAAGATAAGGGAGATATTTGTAGGAATTGTGAGAAATGGTGATGTAGGCAGAGGACACCCTAGTATGCCCAGAGTTAATACTTTTTAAAATACATTTTCTCACAAGATTCAGGCAGCAGGTTAAACACACAATTGCATAGTCTTGGGTACAACACATCTGACATGGCTGCAAATTACAAGTTCAAATTCCCTTCAGCTAAATAGGGCTAGACTATGTGCACTTCAAACAACCACCAGAGGTTGACGTGGTTACTGTTTCTAGGTCCACAAGTTGAAAAGAAATTATTCTGTTCTGGTAGAACCTCCAGAAAAGTGATGATCAGAATTTAGGACTGTGGGAGATACCACACCTCTCCTTTTCACCAAAAGGGTTCTGAGACTCACCAGCAACTACCAAATATAAAACAGCAGATCAGGAGGATAGACACAATAGCTAAGAAATAAGGAATGGGATGTCTGTGAATACACATTCAGTCCAGGAATATTTGAATGCTGCTGGACCCCAGCTCACACATTCTTCGATTCTCTTTCTGATAGATTCTTATTTTACCACAAATCAGTCATACTTCACTGAAAGCATTCCTTTTCAGTAACCTAATCTTTGTGCATGGAAAGGGAGAATTTTCAATTGATATCATTAGAAAATTGGGAATCATAATTACTAGTCTCCTTTAACTCACTCAGAGGTCATAAGGGCATACAGCAGGACCACTATACATGCCAGGGACTATGCTATGGATTCTTCACTAACAAGTATTCATAGCACTGTCTCTGTCTCCCCCTAGTGGCCGGTTATGGTAATGCATATGCAAATAGTTTTTCTGCTTTTTTTTCTGTTAACATTTTTTTATTTTCAGTCAATGGATTAGTGAAACCATGGATACCAATTCCGTGGATACAAGGGTCCTACTATACACCAAAATATATTACATCCACCCCTTTACTAGAATATTTCTACAGAGTTCATGAAGCTGGCTTATATCAGGTTAGGCCAACTGGCAGAGGTCCTTAAGGGTTTATTGGAAAAGTGTTTCCCAGCCCTATTAGAAAGACTCTGGGTCCTTTTAGGAAGTGCTACTTCTGCATGCACAGCATGTGCTCGACACACTGAGATCTCTCCTTCCCCCCCAAAGAGAGATTGGTATCCTTGTAAGCAGTTAAAGAGAGAACTGCTGGTGAAAAAAGCACAGCATCTAAATTTACAGTTAAAAAGAAAAGATATCAAACACCAATATACAATAACTAAAACTATTTTGACACAACTTTCCTGCCTTCATCCAGGAAAAAAGCGAAGAAAAGAAAATGAGGTAAGAGCTGATCTTTGCATTCCAGATTTCCCTGGAGTTTTCCGCAGCTATACAGCAAAGAATATGTGAGAAATATCTTTGGATCGGCAATTTTGGAGGCTGCCTTTCCCCCATTCCTATGGTTCTGACATATCTCAAGTTTTGCAGCAGCCACATGCTATAGACAGTATATTGAATCAAAACCTTTGAAGAGCTGCCTTTGGGGCCAAGAAAGTATTTCATCATACTGATGCTCCATTGTGCTTCATCTTACAGATCTGAAAACAGCAACGCAATGAATCTGTTCTATCCAGCGTCAAGTCACTGTGCAATGATAAGAAGACTTGCTTCTTTTCTTGCCAGCAGTGAAGGAACATTTATCAACAACTCTTCGTAGCTAAGAGTGCATTTGTTCTGCATACATTCCAGGCTGTAAGCCTTACAGTCCCACTCTAATTCTCATTACTCCATTCTACATGATTCTAGGTTTTGCGGTTTGGTGATGTCCTCAGAAGGCTCTGCTATAGATCTATACAGCACTCTCCTGAACTGCAACCCAGTATTCCAGGTCCCCCACGAAACTATAAATCCCAAGATTCTATAGGAGGAAGACATGGTAATGGTAGCAGTTAAAGTGATATCAGACTGCTATAATTACCATATATCTGGCAGATATCCTGGTGCATCAAAGCTTCCCACTTAGATCTCCTTCTGTCACAGAGGAAGCTGTAAATTGCTCATAATACACACTATTTCCCCCATTGCACAGTACAGTACAGCATAGATGATTATATGATGCCTTTGCTGGGCATTGAGGGTTTCCACATGATAGAGAATAGGGTGAGCAATATATTGCCTGTGGGACACAATCACCCTTGGTCCATTGCAAGCAGCAAGTAGCTTCTGGCACCTCCCCCAGTCCATTTCTTAATTTTTTAAAAAATTTGAAATGTTTAATTTTACACACGCACACACACACACACACACTACAGTCGTGTATGGTTGCATCTCATATGTGCAGTAACTTATGACCTGTATTTGATGTTCAGTTCTTTTGAAATATGGTTTGTAAACATTCCCACAAGAGGCTGTTTCGTCCTTCTAAGACTACAGTAGGAACCCTGTATCCACAGAGGATTGGTTACAAGTCCCCCTGCAGATGCTAAAATATTCAGAACACTATTTTTAACAGTGAATCCTATAAAAAGCATGGTCTCTGGCTCCCTCTCGTGGCCAGTTGTGCTAACATCATTGTTAAAAAATATATATTGGGTTTTTTCTTTTAATTTTTTTCAGACTGTGGATAAATGAATCAGCGAACACTGATCCCAAGGATAAGGGGGTCCTACTGTATAACCAATCTTAGAGCCCCAAACCTAGAATGGATTTGGAAAAGCAGTAATGATAATGCACCATCAACCAGACTGCCAATACTCCTGACTTTCAGTGCCCATTTTCATATATTCTCAAAAAGCAATCTTTTCACCATCTTACTACTACTAATGCCTACTCTTCTTGCCTTTTCTGGGTGCGCCTTGACGTTGAGGACCCTTGCTCCCTATCTCTTGGGTGTGATTTTGGAGAGACCACAAGAATGAACAGGTGAACGACCACATTCATTTCTCTTCATCCCCCTTCCTTTTTTTTCCTGAACCATAAAACATAACCAGAGAGCTACTCTTGGCTCACTGTTGTCTCATCACCCCTTGTCTTCTTGACAAGCCTTCAGCATTTTATCTTGCCTTTTCTTTTCCTTTCTTGATAATACTTCCTTTTTTCTAAGAAGCATTGGCCTCAATGCAGTAACTTTCTGCAGCCCTGGTACCTTATAAAGGCATTTTGCTATGTAGAATAATGTTTCTGTAGTTACATGAGTTGTGCTTCTATGTATTTTTCAATATTAGGCAGACAGCAGTTCAAACCTGCACAGAAGAACAGAACCAAGAGAATGATGGAAAAGTTTTTTTTTCCCCCAAGAACTAGACTAGTTCCCTCTAAGTTATTCGTGAACCGGAAAGGTGCTGTTTCCTGAACACTGAAAAGTAGGTTCCAGACATATACTATATATCCTGAGCAACCACAGTAACACCTCACTACATTGTTATAGGCCAACCTTTTCACCTGCTTTGGTTTGAAATGTTAAAGTTAATAGGCCATGAGTATGGAAAGTATGGGGTTTACAATAAAGGGGGCAGAAGGAAAAACATGTAAATGATTACAAATTTTAAAGCAACATAAGGCAATTTTTTTTGAAAAAAAAATTCTATTCAGAAAAATATGAAACAAAGCTCATTAATGTTCCATGGCTGCTACAATGTGCTAACTGATTTAACAAGTATCTGTTTCAAAGAGAGCTTTGATATTATTCCGGAAATATAGACATAATATCAATAGCAAGTTAGAATTTTATTTTATACCACACATTACCATGTCTATTTGTAAGGATAATGAGGTAATTGTTCCCACATAGAAACCATCAGCCAAAATTGTATTGGGTTTTAACCCTGGTATAACACAATTGGTGAATTATCCTGTTATTGTAGTTTGTTGAGTCATAAGCACACAACAGCAAATGCCTACACTAACTTCTTAACTCGGAGCAATTCATGAATTAGATTTATGCCAACTGCATTACATGGGTAGGATAACTAATACGAGTAATTTATTCTCCATTCATACCTGTCTTTCAGTAAGATCCAAGTTTACTGCTATCTCATATCTCCGCAGCCTGGTGAGGTAGTTGTGGTGGGCAAATTCTGCTTCTAGCTCTCTGATCTGCTCTTTGGTGAAAGCCGTTCTTTCTTTCCTTGGTTTACTATTGACTTCAGATTTATAATTTCCCTCTTGAGAATCTGAAATAAATAGAAGATCAATATTAAGAGTTATGACAAACACATGGTTTAATGGGAAGCAAACATTACAAATAAAAATGCAAGTATCATTACAGATTAAAATAATCTGAGCAAACTCTATGGACAGATATAGGCAGGAAGCTTCATCCAGAAGGTGTTCTATCAACACCATGTCTTATTGAAGTCATTTACTCAGTTTGGATGAGACTCCCCTTGACATTAATGAATTAGGAATATCTTCCATGTCTCATTGCACATTCTTCTCTGCGTTCACCCTGTAGCGATTTAACACAGGTTCAGCATTGATAGCAGTTACCCTGTTTTGAGAATAAAGGGCAACTTGAATATGGAAGGCTGCATTCATATTTTGCCACCATCTGTTAGGAATTGTTCAAGTTGAGAATCCAGTAACCATGGGTTGAATAAAGACATACTCAGAGCAGACCCCTGAAATTAGACCCCTGACCTACCTGTGCCAACGAATGTTCTTTTGAACGTATTTAAGTTTGCATTCAGTTCAGTATGTTCATTCATGAATACAGTGGTGCCTCACTTAACAGCGATAATCCAGGAAAATCGCCGTTAAGCGAAAACATAGTAAAGCAAAAACAAACAAACAAACAAAATCCACAATTGAAACACATTGAAACCCCTTCAATGCGTTCCAATGGGGTCAAAACTCACTGTCCAGCGAAGATCCTCCATAGGGCAGCCGTTTTCGCTGCCTGTCTTGCGAGGAATCCGTCCCAGAAAACAGCAGGGAGCCATTTTGTTTACCCGGCGGCCATTTTGAAACCGTCGATCAGCTGTTTTAAAATCGTCGTTTTGCGAAGAATCGGTTCCCGAAGCAGGGAACCGATCATCGCAAAGTGAAAACGCCCATTTAGACCATCATTTTGCGATCGCAATTGCGGTTTTGGTTTCGTCATAATGCGGGGCAATCATAAAGTGAGGCACGACTGTACAAGCATCCCATTAGAAACTCAAGGCACAGCTTTGATTGCTGCATGTGCTCATCCCTAGGAAACACATACATAATTACCTTACAACCAGATCTCCAACATTGTTCTATAACCATCATTTATTGTGTTGTCAGTGTTGGGAGAAAAGGGGTTGTTCGTGGTACACATTATCCCACATTAATACTAGTGGTAAGCTTTTTTTATAGCAGAGCTATTTGGGATATGCTTGAAGGTTCTTTTAATGTTCTCAGTGCATTGGTTTTATTATCATTTTTTCTAAGCATTCCTTTATGAATGTATAACTCAAAAATCATTTGGATTTCTGATATTTTGGATGTATCCCTTTTATTGTTTCCATGTTCCTCACAGAGCTACTTTTGTAGTGTTAACTTTCACAGAAAATCAAAATATAATATAGGGAGCTCTTTAACAGCCATTCACCCACCCCACCACATTTAAAGAGTGTCTCATTCTTGTTGTTGTTGTTGTTGTTGTTGTTGTTGTTGTTGTTGTTGTTGTTGTTGTTGTTGTTGTTTTCAATTAGTCCTTTTTTCTATATGTATGCATGGTTTAAATATTATGTTTAAATGTATGTTTTCCAGCATTATGATTTTCATTCAGAGACATCACATCCAAGTGAGAAAGGACCATTATCTTTTGACATGTAACAAATGTACTCATATGTAGTATTTTGTTGCATTTGTGGAAGTTATATCCATGTAGGAAAATCATGATGTACAAAGGGGCCCTAAATCAAACTTTGACTCTCATATCAAATTACTCCACCCTCCACCCTGAATTTTATAGCCATTTGTTTCTAATCTTACAATATGCCATACGCTGTAAATCCAAAATTAGCTAGCGTTCAGCATGAGAATCACTAGTCAACTTTTGGCTTCATCAACCATCTTAAAAATGTCACAGATAAATTCACACTTCAGCTGCTGGTTTAAATAGAAACCTGCATCAACTTCCAAGCAGACAAGCCCATAAGCAGTCTCTTTATGACTTTCGCTGAAGGATGAGTCACTGGCATGCCTGAGAATGCTTTGCTGGCCCCAGAACCTAATAACGACAGTAAGATCTCTCTTTCTTAAAGCAGACAATAAATATGATTTACATCTAAGTTAAACAATTGCTTTGGGGGAACAGTTTAAAATGTTTCAGTCTTAATTTTGATGTTAATAATTGAGACCTTCCAGCCATTATTACTACAGGTAGTAGAATTATTGGAAATGTCTACTATGGAAAGTTCACAGGCTAGCAGACTAATGTTGTAACATACATATTATAAAAAGGAAGAGCAAAATGTATGTCAGGGCAAGCAGTGTAAAAGAAACTCTATAACATGCAAAATGTTTGAGAGTATACTGAAAAAATCTAAACAGGATTTAAAACCCAAAGGAAAAAGCCCCCTTCCATGGTATGTATGAATAGAAAACTTAGTACCAGAAAATGTTTACGCAAAGATTTTGAAAGGTCACAAACAGAAGGCAGTTGCAATAGTTCACTAGCATGGTTCTCTTTCTCTGTAAGTCTTAGATTGTGGACAGTTTGGCTTTAGGCTCATCTTGTTTTTTCCTGGACATGTGGCTGCAACAGCTACCATGGTATCCTAGGTGATACACAGGGCTGGACAGTTCCACCCTTAATCTCCTGTGCAAGAGCAAAGTTGTGCATGCCTGCTAAGATCAGATAGCCATCTCTCTGGCCTTCCCTTTCCAGAAGAATAAAACAATTATAACCAAAGATGGCTCATTACAACAGGGCCCTTCCTGCTCCAGCAAGCTGACCATGATATAATATAACTGTTACTATTTTGTCCACAAATGTTCCTTCTTGGGACTTCTAAACTTTGTAAAGGATGTCCTTTGTTCATGGATAGTTAATGTTTTAGTATAAGGAAGCATGGCAAGCTAACCCAGATGGAATAATGAGACATGGGCTTTGACTTCTCTGGCTGCAAAATTTAGATTCGACTTGCAGCCAGAGAATCGACTTACAGACCAGAAAAAAACCAAAATGGAATAAAAATAGAATAAAAACCACTGGTTATGGGATTAATCGGTTTTCAGTGCATTGTAGGTCAATGGAGATTCGACTTACAGACTTTTCGACTTGCAGCCACCATTCCAATACGGATTAATTCCTTAAGTAGAGGGTCCACTGTATAAGGAAGCATGGCAAGCTAACCTGGATGGAATAATGAGACATGGGCTTCTTTGTACCAGCTATTTTCTCAAGATGTTGAGCTCCCATTCGTGCATCTCTATGTTCATACGACTCAGCTGGTCAGCTACCTCATTGTCTTCTGTCGATACTTGAATGGCTATTGGGAAAATATGATGTTCGTAGCACATTCCCAAAGATGGATTGTCAGATACAGAAGTGACATCGAGTAGTTGCCGCCCTGCTTGTTGATGTAATGCACGGTCGTGGTGTTGTCTGTGCCCACTTGAACACACTGACCTGCTATTAATGCATGAAAAGCCCGAAATGCCTTGATGACTGCCAGCATTTCCAAGTGATTTATATGAAGAAATTTCTCTGGTTTGGACCACAGAGCGTGAATCTTGTGCAGACCATAGTGTGCACCCCATCCTGTCCTGACCACAGAGCGTGAATCTTGTGCAGACCACAGTGTGCACCCCATCCTGTGGCGTCCGTTGTCACTTGGATCGTCAGTTGAATGGGTCGGAAGGGGCAGCCCATGAGCAGATGTGGAAGAAATGTCCACCACATGAACTGTCTTGTGTGCTCCGGTGTTACACACAGGCTCTTGGTAGGTTTGTCTGCTATTGGATCGCATTGAGACAGGTAACAAGCCTGTAGAGATCACATTTTCAACCTTGCGTGTGGGAGGGCTGATGTAGTTGATGCCATGAGGCCCAGCAGCTGTTGAGTGTGGTGGGCAGAAATCTTGGCGAGAGGATGGAAAGGACGAATTGCTCTGCGTAATTTTGGAACTCTTTCTGCTGGAAGAAAGACTCTCGCATTGCACCTATGTAACAAAGGTTAAGAACCACTGTGCTATTGGATCACATTGAGACAGGTACCAAGCCTGTAGAGAGCACATTTTCAACCTTGCGTGTGGGAGGGCTGATGGAGTTAATGCCATGAGCCCCAGCAGCTGTTGAGTGTGGTGGGCAGAAATCTTGGTGAGAGGACGGAAAGGACGAATTGCTCTGTGTAATTTCAGAACTCTTTCTGGTGGAAGAAAGACTCTCGCATTGCACCTAAATAGTCCATGACCTGAGATGGCTGTAGATGAGATTTTGCCACACTGACCTTCAGGCCCAAGTCTGCCAGAGTTTGAAGAGTGAAGTTGGTGTCTTGCACAGCTTTGTGGAAGGAAGCAGCTATGATCAACCAATCGTCTCTATATAAGAAGATTGTGATGTTGTGTAGACAGAGGTATGCTGCTACCGACTTTTTGTAAAAGTCCTTGGTGCAGTGGAGAGCCCAAAGGGAAGGGTGCAGAATTGACAAGCCATATTCATAAAGACAAATCAAAGGTACTTTCGGTGACGTTGATGAATTGAAATATGAAAGTAGGTGTCCTGAAGGTCTATAACAATGAACCAATCTTCTTGACACAGAAGAGGGATAATGGATTCTAGAGTGATCATACAGAATTGCCTTGGATAAAGTTAAGTGTTCAGTAGCCTGAGATCTAGTATAGGCCTGAGATCACCATCTTTCTTGGGTAGTGCAAAATAGCAGGAATAGAAAGTGTTCGGAATTTCTTGAGTGGGGACGCGTTGAATGGCCTGCTTCTGGAGAAGGGTGGATATCTCTTCCTCTAGAGCAGGTGTGTAGGATGTGATTTTGAGATGACCAATTGGAGGAAGATCTGTGAACTCTAATAGGTAACCGGAGTGTATGATAGCCAGCACCCAAGAGTCTTTGGTGATAAGTGACCATTTATCCATGAAAGGTGCTAGTCTGGACTGATGATGGATCTCGATTGGGGTAATTATAACGAGAGAGTCAAAGGTACTGTTTCCCTTTCTTTGAAGGACAGTGGTATGATTGGCA